ATTCAAATATGTTGAGACTTGGAATCATGATTCAGCAATATCTTGGCAGCCAGAAACTCAACTTTTCCCTTAGCAAATTCGAATATCTTGGAAATGAAGATTGCCCTATGCAATCATCTAATCTTTGAAGATATGTCCGTCTGCATTTGGTAACCAAGTCTGTTATCCATTTGCTTCCCTTGTCAAGTGTAAAACTACCATATTTTTCGGACTATAAGACATTCTGGAGTGTAAGACGCACCTAGCTTTTGGGGAGGAAAACAAGAAAAAAAAATCTGCCTCTGCCTCCCAGCATCCATCCGGTATTCATCTGGCCCATTTGCTGCTGCCCGTTCGCCGCCGTCCATTCACCGCTGCCCAATCACTGCCACCGCAGCCTGTTCATTGCTACCCATTTGCCGCCGCCACGGACCATTCACCGTGGCCCATTTGCCACTGCCCATTTGCCACCGCCCATTCACCACTGTCACCGCAGCCCATTCTAAAACAGCTGATCAGCACCACACCAACCCCCCTCCCCCCCCACCGCAATATTTGCTGTATAAGATGCACAGACTTTTCTACCCACTCTTTTGCACAATCTTTCACGCGATCCCATTGTGAACCGGTAGTAAAGTAGAACCCACCCCTGATGTGGACCCAGAACTCTGAATGGGATAAAGGGAAGACAAAGAGAGGACCGCTGGCCTGTCCCAGAAAGAAGTTTTTAAAAAGTATCCCAAGAGCTCATTCTCTGTGCTCCATGCCCACAGACACAACCAAAATCAAAACACAGCATCAGTAGTCGGACTCTACAAGTATCAGTCCTTGACTGCTTCAGTGTTTGGGAAAGTAGCTTTGAAATCCAATCCATTTCCTAGAACTGGAAATGAAGAATTAATCCTTGACTTGTAAAAATAACATCCTGGAGGGAGAATTAATGAAAACAAGTAACAGGCCAGCCAGCAAGACACTTTCATCCTGGATTTTAATTTGCTAGTTTATTTTGGACTGAATACTAGAAGCATTTGTTCTTTTTTTCTCCCCACCCCCATTTTACTTTCTTTGTATCCAATATACACATGATGGTTGCAATAAATTAGAATATTTAGCTGTTTGAACTTTTAGCAAAACATTCTCTTTCTCCAAATTCTTTAGTTATGCCTTGTAAGGCTGTCCATAGCCAAAGGCAATTCAGATCTCAGACAGATTTCAGTAACATATGTTCAAAACATGTTTCAGCTACTGACCTCACCAACCAAACACATGAAGCTAAAAATAAATGTGGGATGGCAGAACTAGACAAATGGGGGCCCATATTTCTGCTTCAGAAGGGAAAGAGATAGTAATTCCTCTGAACTTTTTATGATGGAATGTTTAGATCTGATGTCAGAGCTGAATAGAGCTGTAAATATGAACTGAGTTTGGATTTAATCTCTTGGATAAAGACGGCTATCTTTCACTTCATAGTTATATATGGATGGGGAATTTTTTAATGGCTGAAGAATGATAGAAAACCAAGTTCATTCCTCAATTTATTGCTCATTTGTTTAACCAATTAAAGCAAAGCTCAAAAACAATATTTTCAGAGTTTTCAGTACCCCCCTAATTCTGTGATGTAGCACAGGGGCCTGAAAATAATTATTATCGTTGACTATCTTCAAAAGTGCCACAAACACATAAAAAAGATCCTGTCAGGAAGTCTTTAATTTCTACTTCTGGCTTTTCGGCCTTTGCCACTGGATCTAGCAGAGAAGGCATGCTCCAGGTCTCTTCCATAAAATAATGTCATTTTGTTGGACCCCAGAATTGTGACTGAGGCCTGGGCTTGTCAGAGTGCCAATTAGCAGTAAACTGTTAACTGTTTGTATTCTAATTCAAAAAGTCACATTTTGAGAGGTCATTTTGAACGTTTTGTTGCTCTCATTGGTTCATATGAGCTGGCTAATATTGTAGGTTATTGACTGCAATGTCCTGATTGAAACTATATAAACAAACAAGTCCAGTATGTTTGGCATTATTTCAATAAATGTGGTTTAGTGAATAGCAGAGACAGCAGTTCCGTGAAAGTCTAGAAAGAGAAGAAGGATTAAAGTGAGATCTTTGAATCCAGAAACTTCAAGGTCTAACCAGGACTCCATGGCTGGTTCTCTATAATAGTTGCTGACCAAAAGCTGAAAATGATGGATTCAAAAAGCAGGAAGATCAGAAACAGGAACGGTGATATCTTGGACTTATCTTTGTCCATAAGTAATAATTTGAAAGAAAAAAGAGAAAAGAAAGAAAGAATAAAGCAAGACATGATGAAGTTAGCTGGACAGATATTATTATGGCAGAGAAACAAACATTTTTCATTTGGTATTTTTTTAATGAGTCCAGGAGCTGAAGAAATCCAAATTCTCTCCTACAGATTATTAGGAATGCTAATTGGTGCAAGTTAAGTCAAGGTTAGTTAGCATTTGAGCTTTATTTAAGGAAATGAATTTAATTAAGAATACACTAAATACAAGTTTATGTAAAGCGATAGTACAAAAGTGACAGTACGAAAGTGACAGTACGAAACCTCTGATCTTATCTAATATTAATGTATTTTATACGTAGATATTTCTCCATATCTATTTACTTTATGCCCAAAGCCTAATAATCCACTGTGATAATATATAGACAATGAATTAACAGGGATATTTTATTAAAATTCTATTGTGCAGTGGAATTTGTGTCTCCTCAATATCATTCCAATACCTCAGCTACCACATCATACTGGCTGTCTATTCTGCTACATTGATTAACTTCTTTCCAAAGCTATTATAGATAAGATCATCTAAAATTAGAAATACTACTGATTTGTTTTGTATCTGTATTCATTCTCAAAAATATAGTCATCGGATACTGCTGCTTCTTTAAAAAAATACAATAATTTGTTGTTTGGGAACAACAAATGTAGAAATCATAAATATTTTTTAAAAAATCATGGAATCTACACCATTCAAAAATGAATGTGCAATCTTTTCTCCATTTGTTTTTCATCCTGAACTTTCTACATCAACTCCAAAAGCAATTCTAAATTTATCATCTTGCAAGTAATATTTTAAAACCTTGCCTGTGAAAACAATGGGCAGATTATGTGGGTAGGGACCACAGCTGTTTAAATAGGGCCATGAGAAAAGTCAAATTTAGTTGTAAAAAACAAATGGTATCCATCAGAAAGAAATGTTGGAGATTATGATTAGAAGGGGTGGTACATGGTTTGGCAAATCACATTGCTTTGGGTTTACATTTCCTTGAAAAAAACAAACTCTGAGTCACTATGATACCACTTTCCATTAGACCATTAATTTATGCACTAAATCTATCTCAAACTGCTCAAATTTACTGTATTTCAGAATATGTATTTTGGCAGGGTTGCCTTACTCTGGTCCAGCTGTAACTGATGAGATTGTAGGCAAGGCCTAGGGACATTCGTCCAGCCCTTTCTAGCAATATGCAACCAAAATATGGATGAATCCAATTGAAGATAACATTAAAGAAATATTAAACCCATTGTGTAATAAAGTGAGATACGTCCTGGGGGGGGTTACTTTTTATTCATTACTTCACTGCATATCAGAATTTTGTGGTCTTGTTATTGTAGGTCATCTAAGAGTTCCAATATGTAATATGAGTATATGCATTTTCATAACACATAAAAAACCCCTAACATTATACATTAACACTGATTTAAGCAGATATGAATTCATGCCAAATTAGTCTGGGTTTTTCTGAACCCATCCCTGAATGACACTCTGGAGAATATCAAGGATGAAGGGTGTAAGAAAAAAAAAAGGGGGGGGAGAATGGAATAGTGGAGACATGAGAAAAGGGAGGGAGAGAAGACAATATGATTATTTTGTTTTATCTTGAGATGAGAAGTGAATTTGCCATGACCCAGGTGGGAGGGGAACTTTGGGGAATGGGGCTATAAAGAGATTTCAGGGGATGTTTGAGGAAGCACTTAACCAGAGGGGACTGAGAAGTATTTTGAGAAGTGCAATTCCTCCAAGTGGATAGCAAAGGAGTGTGGCAATGGAGTAAATGGTGGGAATCGATAGTCCCAAGTGCCTTAATTGATGGGTAGACTAGAGCAATGGGGAAGAAGAGTTGAAAAAGAAGGGTGGTGGCAGGCAGAGGATAACAGAATAGAAGGCACATTCATTGGGAAGAGGGACTGAGCATTTGAGATCATGTACTCATCTTGGCAACCTACTGTAGATTGCAAGAATCTTGGAGGTCTTTCATTCTGCTGCTGCTTTTTAATGCCAAGTACGTCTGTAATAAATTAAAACATCTCTCCTCATTAATAAATCTTTCCCCATTTACTGGCTTCTATTACTAAAACCTGCTTGAAGGCAGGGAAGTTCCCCTCTCCAAAATTTCCCCTTAGAGCAAGGGTGTCAAACTCGTGTCGTCATGGTGACGTATCAGGACTTTTCCCCCTTCACTAAACTGGGCATGGGCGTGGCCAATGCATGACGCATCCGGTCCATGGGCCATGAGTTTGACAGCCCTGTCTTAGAGGTTTCAGCTAATTGCAGGTGAAATGGAGTAGTATCATGCAGAAGCTCTGCAGCCAACCAGAGGTGCTATACTGCAAATGAGCAGAGGTGAAACCTCATGCTTGAAGTTGAATACCAGAGTCAAGGGGAGGTTGAGCTGTTGTCCTGTTCCCCTTGCTGTACAGAATCTCATGGTTGGAGTGATTGTGACATTCCCCAGGGTTATAGTATTGGGGGATTTAAATATGCCTTTCCTGGCAGAGTTCTGAGGCAATTCAAGAGTTTAACACTATTATGACAATAGCTTTTTCAAATCATCATGGCCCCAGTCAGAGGCATCTGTGAAGAGAGAGCAAGGAGGGAGGGCAAATGACAAAGGTAGCATTGTTCCATAAGCTCCTCCTCTTTTATACATAAGTCATGATGCAACATGCATGTATGAAAGGGGTAGATGTTACATCACAATGGCAGAATACTGCTTTCATCATTCTGGCTAAACTTTCAATCCTGTAGATGCCTCCAACCCCAAGTTAAATAAAAGGCCAGATGTTTTTTGTCTTAGCAGAAATACGACATAACCCTAGAAAAGATTAATACCTGTCCTTTGTCCTGTTGAGCTCACCAATGCCACTAAAGTCCTCAAAGTGGATGGTTTCCATTTGGTTTTCAGAAGGCACTTAGAGTGACTCCTGGACAATAGTAACAACTGGGTCCCTGGACAGAATTGCATCTCCCTTCACCAAGGAATTCCAAGAAATTGGCATGAGAGTTGCCCAGAGTGATCTTGGCAAAAGACGAAGAGTGGATGAAATAGACATGGGTAAGAGTTCAGTTTCAAGAATTAGAGTGGCAAAACTTCAACATTTCTCTACTTTTATTGCATCCACAGATTTTATAGAGGCTTTGTTTACTCGGAACTGACTAGCAAATAATGCGTTGGAAGAATATCTATGGGGCATTCTGAAGGATTTTCTAGACATCTGGAGGATAAAGTTGCTCAGATCTGCTTGGAGCTGGATGCCAATTAAGCAAGTTCTATTGAGATGCTAGAGCAGAGGTCTTCAGACTTGGCAGCTGTAAGACTTGTGGACTTCAACTCCCAGAATTCTCCAGCCAGCTAAGCTAAGAGCTGGAGAATTCTGGGAGTTGAAGTCCACAAGTCTTAAAGCTGCCAAGTTTGAAGACCTCTGTGTAGAGTATGTCTTGCAGGATCTTGGGGGAAATTAATCACATTGTTCCTGAGGTGGTGAAAAGTTCTTTACATTTGTGATATAGAGCCCTGTCCATACTTTGTGGCACAGCATGGGCTTGTAATATGGTCCTCCTGAACTTCCAGCTCCTGGTAAAAGAACTGATAGCAGTTATGGACTGGACAGTCATTGCACTGTTAAATCTGGTTAACCAGTTAACAGGTCTCCTGAATTGGAAGATCTACATAAGGTCACTCATGCCTTATTCCAGGGGTGAAATTTAGCAGGTTCTGACAGGTTCTGGAGAACCGGTAGCAGAAATTTTGAGCAGTTCAGAGAACCGGTGGCGGAAATTTTGAGTTTGGAGAACTGGCAAATACCACCTCTGGCTGGCCCCAGTGTGGGGTGGGCATGAGATTTTGCAATATCCTTCCCCCAGGAGTGGAAGGGAATGGGGATTTTGCAGTATCGTTCCCCTGGAGTGGGGTGGTGGGGAGGGAATGGGGATTTTGCAGTATCCTTCCCCTGGAATGGGGTGGGAATGGAGATTTTGCAGTATCCTTCTCCTGCCACGCCCACCACGCCACACCCACCAAGCCATGCCCACAGAACCAGTAGTAAAAAAAATTGGATTTCACCACTGTCTTATTCACCTTTTGTTTGGACTATTGCAATATGCTATACATCTGACCTCATTTGGAGGAAGTTCTAACTCATCTAGAGTAGAGTAGCTCAAATACTGTTGGCACTTAAAAGCTATTCCATATAATATTATTTTTTTAAGAGCTATACTGGTTATGGCTTCCGGGGCAATTCAGGGTGCTGCTTGTCACTTTGAAAGACCTTTATAGGACTTTAGGACATGAATATAGGTCTTGAAGGGCTTTTTTACAGTTACATTTTGTAAACCAATTGTGGCCATTCTTGGATTAGAAGGCTTTGATCACAATCACTCATTCTTTAGTCATCTCCCACTTTAATAATAAGATCTACATAGGGGTTGCTTTGGAAAGCATTCAGAAGCTAAGGCTGGTACAAAATGTGGCATTCTAGGCAGTCATGAGGTGCATCCATATATACTCAACTGACTGTGGAAAGTTGTGCTAGTTGACATTTAGCTTCTAAGGTGTGATTCAAAGTGCTTTGGAATTTCCTCCCCCAGAAGCCCTGTGTTCCTTTTTCTCTGGGTTTCAGAAGAGCAACAGAGACTTCGTTGCAAGATGTGTGAGACCTGTTGTGACTGAAAGCTGGAATTGGGAAGGCTCATAAATTGATAGTGGTTTTTTTTCCTATTTATTATTTTGAACTTGTCCATTTTTAAATTTTATTTTATGCTGAACTCATTTGTTGGGCGCATTCCAGGAATGAATAGCATCAATTCTCAGCCTCCTTCTTTGGAACAACATACTGCAGTACAGCCTAATATCAGCTTGCCTTCCATCCTCTTGGCTTTAAGGAAGGCCATAAAAGAGTGTCTTTGTCAAAACATCTTGAACCCCAGTTAGGGATTCTCTTTTGTCTGCTGTTTTGAAAGTACCCTGACCATTGGGGCTATTGTACTTGCATTATTGTCATGCTATCATAATTATTTTTAATTTTTTTTTTCTGTAAGAGGGTTCATAAGCCACTCAGAGTCCTTTTGGGATCAAAGTGGAATATAAACTGTAAATAAATAAATTAAAAGTGCATAAATAGTTGAACCTTCCTTACTTTTATAGGCAGAGCATACCACATGTTAAAGGTAAAGGTAAAGGTTCCCCTTGCACATATGTGCAAGTCGTTCCCGACTCTAGGGGGCAGTGCTGATCTCTGTTTCAAAGCCAAAGAGCCAGCGCTGTCCGAAGACGTCTCCGTGGTCATGTGGCCGGCATGACTAAACGCCAAAGGCGCGCAGAACGCTGATACCTTCCCACCAAAGGTGGTCCCTATTTTTCTACTTGCATTTTTTACGTGTTTTCGAACTGCTAGGTTGGCAGAAACTGGGACAAGTAACGGGAGCTCACCCCGTTATGCGGCACTAGGGATTCAAACTGCTGAACTGCCGACCTTTCAATTGACAAGCTCAGCATCTTAGCCACTGAGTAACCGCATGCCCCTATACCACAAGTTACTAATTTTAAAATTCATTTACGCAGTTATTTTTTAAAAACTATCTGGCAAATCTACTGAACTATATATTATAAGCTATATACACCCTTCTCCCATTTATCTATCTGATGAAACAGGTTCTTAGAAATGAAAGCTCCTACAATAAATGTGTAAGTTGTCAAGGTGTCACAGATATTTTTTTTTTGAAAGCTGAACAATCACCTGGCAAGCACCCTTTTGTATATATAATAGCTTACCTTTGTGCCAAGTGGGTAATTGTTCTAAAAACTATTAGCATAAGCAGAATAGACTTTATTTGAATCCTGTCTCCAAGATCCCCTGGAAGCAGATGCTAATGAAAAAAGAGGAGGCAATCAGGAGGGGAGACATGAGACTTGAAATGGAAACAAAGAAAAAGGAAATCCCTTATTTCATAATGGTGCAAACAGAAGCGTTGGGAGAAATACATCATGTGAAACCTAACCCTGTTCCTAATGCATTTAAGAGAAGGCAAAATGTAGAGTATATCCTGCCTCTGGGAATAATATGGGTAGGAGGTTTTCACCAACTGTTTCTACTTGCCCTGGAATTTGAGATTTTGTTTTCAAAGACTTCCCAAGAGGGCTAAGGTTGGTTTTTGGTTTTTTTTTAAAATGTCTGATACTTTTTGCCAATCTGTTTTCCAGAATGACCAATTCCCCAGCCTTGGTTTTTCTCCATTACTTAATGGAAGTCAAGAGCTTTTGAAATCCACTGAGGAAAGAAGTCCTCCTGTCAGAGTTTTCTGAAGAAAAGACTGTGATTTTTGAAAATGTATCTAATCTATATAGTTTTGAAACGAGCAAATTCTATTCCTTAGCTTATCGAGCAACAGCAGCCGCTTCCTCCCTCTGCAAAGGATTTCTATCTGTACCGTTTGACCTAGGCTGCTCTTCTTACATAGTCAAGTCATCTCTCAATGTTGGCAGTGGTCCAGGGAAGAATTTGCACGTGCAAATAATCTTAATTATCCTGTTATGCAGAAAGGAATTAAGAGTACATGTAGTGGAGAAAATAAGGATTGCAAACAAATGGGAGGCTGCACGTTTTCCTGCCTGTCTTTTAGATATGATCAGGATCAAAATTCAGTTCATCTCTGCCTAATCCCATCAAACCCAAACGGAACCTCCCTGTCCAGGACAAAGCCCCCACCCCACAATCCCATCTAAAACAAAGAATAGAAGCCTCCTCACCAGCTCACAGCACAGCTCAAGGGCAACTCTTACAAGGGAATTGCAACCTACAGAAACCCCAAATCTCTCTTGTTGATGACCTGAATATTCCATCTCCTTTTAACAGTGGGCTTCCCCAGTTTTGCCGCCCTCTTGAAAGTGCCCCTTTGCCTAACAATCAAACTAACCCCAGGTACAATGATAAGGTTCTGCCTAGCTCCCCCAAACTGGCCAGCAAATGGGATCCCTATGTTTTCCTGCCTCTAGTCAAATCTTTTTCCTTTCTTTGGGGTCCCTCTTTCTTGTAAAGCAGGCACCAAATCAGTGGTGGGTTGCTCCTGGTTCTGTCCGGTTCTTTAGAACTGGATGTGGCAGGAGGCTCCGCCCACCAATCCGGACATCATAATTGACGATCTGCGAATGTGCAGAAGCTTCTGTGCATGCGCAGAAGCGTGCGTATGTGCGCTCCTGTTGCGAACCGGCAGTAAAGGTAAGTAGAACCCACCCCTGCACCAAATGATTGTTAAACTTGGTTCTTCTCTTCAGTTTTGTGCTCCTTCTTCAGACTAGATCTTTGACAGCATCCATTATGATAGGCCATCAGTAACTCTCCTGCATAGCTTCTTTCCTCTACCCCAATAGCATATAAGGAAGGAATTTGTTTGTTTGTTTGTTTGTTTTTGTTTGTCAAACATGTACAAGATAGCAGGTATAGGTATAAATATAAACAAAGGAAGTAAGTACAGGTAAATGGGGACAGTAAGACAGGGATGGTAGGCAGCTGGTGCGCTTATGCACGCCCCCTTTACGGACCTCTTAGGAATGGGATGAGGTCCACAGTAGACAGTTTGAGGTTGAAGCTGTGAGGATGGAATTGGGTAGAGCATTCCAGGCGTTGACCACTCTGTTGCTGAAGTCGTATTTTCTGCAATCGAGTTTGTAGCCGTTTATCTTGAGTTTGTAGTGGTTTACAATGAGTTTGTAATTCCTTTCTAACAGCAATGAGACTTGATTCCTCTGTGTCTTGAACAACTTCCTAATGTTACTTCCGTATGATGTGGACAAAGGAGCCACAATGACTGAATCAAAGCATAGATCATTCTGCTATTTGTGTTCTTCCACTATTCTATGTTTTATCATCTGTGAGATTTCTCTCAATTAAATATGACTAGAAATGGGTTGCTTGAAATGTCCTTTGTACAGCCTTGTCAATTGTGGAAAAGGAGGGGGGAAAGTATACCTTAATAGTACCCTAAAATAGAGATTGTAAGCAGGTAACAGACCTGGGATGTAGAGCTTTAGACAAGCATCTAAAATTATGCCCTATCCAG